ACTCCATGGCACATAACAACAACAACAACAACATATTCCCCATATGAATGAACAAAATAGAAAAATTACTCTTAATTGTTATCATTCCTCTCTAGTCTCATCTCCACACGCCACCTGGATGCCCACCTAGTGAGATTTCTACCTGTTTTATTTTAAAAGCTAGTTATATAATCTACCTCCTTACCATTTGTTAATGGCCAAACGTGTTTTTAAGACATATGTCTTAAAATACGGTATGCAGATACCGTTACACAAAATTTAGTTTTTGTTATTTAAGATTAATTTTACCTTTTTCCCTCAGTTACTATTTTTTATCCTTTTAGACTTTCTGGTGTGGTGTTGTAGGATAAGCACTGGACTACTAACCACAAGATTGGCGGTTCAAACCCACCAGCCACTCCTTGGGAATCCTATTGTTGTTGTTAGTGCCTTGGAGTTGATTCCGGCTTATTGCAACCCTGTGTAGTGTTTCCAAGCCTCATCTTTCTCCTGAGGAGCACCTGGTGGGCTTAAACCACACACCTCATGGTTCACAGCTCAGTGTTTAATGTACATAGCCACCACACTACTTCAATGCTATGATGGTTGCGGTGCATCGGAACCGACTGGACAGCACGTAACAACAGCAATGCAGTTGTGTAGGCCCAATGATCTTTTGTCTTACTCCCTTGCCAGGAAGAAGAAAGTTTCCTCCAAATCAGATGTAATTTGAAGCCAGATAAAAAGAAGGAAAAGAAATCAGGAAGCAGTAACTAACTCTGTTTTTATTCTCTAGTCATCCTAAGTGGGTTCTAGATATTTGAAACATTGTTACTGTTGTTGTTTCATTTTGTATGGGTTTTTTTGGGAATTAGCAATAGGGTCACCACTTTATTATTTATTGTACCTGATACACCCTGGGCGTTCTGCTGATACATTGCCCACGGTGGCTCCTTCACATTGATGAAATGAGTTTATCTATAGCTTCTGCCCTTTTGATCAGTTACTGTTTGTGTGGTCTGCTCTCGTGTCGTGGGGAATTTAGCCAGATGTCCCTTGCTGGCTGAGCCATTCCTTTTTGTATGGTATGACCTGCGAAGTCCTGCTTTGCTTGCTCTCCAGGAGCCAGACCTTTGTTTTCATTGAGACTTACTTTTGGAAGACCGGATGGGAGAGGTAGTTACAAACTATCAGCGCTGATATGCTACAAAACTTGTCATGTGGTTGCTCCAGTCATTGTGGAGTGAGCCACAAAACCTTTCATCAGATATACTCTCACACAGTGACCTTGAGATTGGCACTCCTGGTCCAAGGCGTTGAGCATCTGAGTCATGAGGGTGTCCTGTGATCCGAGAGAGACCTTGTGATTGGGAACTGGGTGTTGAGGATAGATGGAGGAATGGGATCTATGAGGATGAGGAAATGGAGGAAGAGTTGAAGTGGGGTAGGGATTGCTTAAGAATTTCTATACCAAGTTAAGTTTAGAGGATGCAGAACAGACTAGCCTTTTAGGGTGGGAGACTATGTGTTGGAGTGGGTATTGTTATTGTTAGCTGCCATCAAGACAGCCCACAGCTCATGCCAACCCCATACAAAACAGAATGGACCACTTCCTGGTCCACCCCCATCCCTATGATTGGTTGCAGATCAGACCATTACGATCCACAGGAGTTTAATTAGCTGATTTTTCAGATGTTGATCTCCAGTCTTTCTTTCTAATCCATCTTAGTCTGAAACTTCCAATGAAACTTCTTCCGTATCAGAGCAACACACAAGATTCCAATGGTAGTCTGGTAGTTGGTACACATGAGGTGCCTTGGCCAGAAATCAAACCCAGGTATTCCATGTGGAAGGTAGAATTCAACCCTTGTTGCAATGGGTACGACAACAACAAACTTACTGCCATCAGACTAAATTGTTATTGTGAGTGCTGAGCCTGAATATTCTGGGCTCTCCAAAAACTGCCTGCCCCTTATGGGGTTGAGGGACCAAATCAATGGTGTTCAAGTAATGTACCCTCAAAGTGTTCCATTTTGGTGCTACATAATTGTACTTTGCGTGACTATTTCAAAGAGCCCGAGGGGGCACAGTGGTTCAACGCTCAGCTGCTAACCAGAAAGTTGGTAGTTCAAACCCACCAGCCCTTCCATGGGAGAAAGATGTGGCAGTCTGCTTCCATAAAGATTATAACCTTGCAACTCTCTGGGCAGCTCTGTGTCCTGCAGGGCCTCTATGAGTCAAGGTAGTAGGTTTGGTTTGCACTATGAAACCCAGCATAATGTGTAACATTCCTGGCTCGGTGTTTCTGCACTGCTGGAATCTCCCAAGGACAAGAATAAGGAAGCTGCTGTGGGAAGTCTGCTGGTCCTTCCCTGGAAAAGGGACATCAACCTTTGAGATATGCTCGTGTTCAAGATTGTAATCGATCAAGGGCACAAATTCCATGGGCTTCTTTAGAGCTGTATCTTAAGCCGACTAATAGCGACCCTGCACAGGCTTTCAAGGTTGTACATCTTTACAGGAGCAGAACATCACCTCTGTATCCCACGAAACTGCTGGTGGATGCAAACTGCTGACCTTGTGCTTACCAGCCCAATGGCAACCCATAAGTGCTTGATATATAAGGTTTCATAAATGAATGTATATTATAAAAAAGCAGTTAGTATGTGTTCAAGGCAGGTGGGCTCGACATCATCTCTATTTCATTCTTTTGTTGCTTCTGTTTTGTTTGGTACAATCCGTCTGCTTTCTCTCTTTCCCCTGTGGTTCACACTACAGGTCTCTTGGCCATTTGAGCCCTCCCACCCCATGCCCATTAACATCTTTCTCTTTGTCACTATTCCAAAGGAATTCAGGATAGGGAATGTCAGCTGAGAAGGTGCCAAGGCTGGCCCTTCCACAATGGCCGGAGAATCTCAGTGAGCTTTTACAAAAGTAAAAAGTATCAAATAGTCCTATCCTGACTTAATTTGTACTCTTAATTCTACCCCATTGCTCAACAATGTGGTTGTGATTGCAAATTAGTTTTCTCTTTCCCCTTTAACTTGATTTTCCAATCATTGTCTCTCCTTCTAAAGAAGAGATCATGGAAGAAGACTCTGTGAGAGTCCCTATTTTTCCCAAGTTAGGTTTTAATGACATGACCAAGAGTCTGTTACTCTGACCTGAAGAATCTACTTCAACCAGCTTTTTGGTATGAAATGGCAGCTCCAGATGACATGTTCATACATTCCCTTCTCTCATCAAACCTGGAGATCCCTTTACCCTCCCCCTGTGTTTTGCCTTCAACTACACTCTCACCTCCTGGAACATAATTTCCTCCTGACTCTGGTGCTGGTTTCTAGTAAACTCAGATAAGAGTTGGCGAGTGAATGAAACTTTTTTTCTGCGTTTCTCCCTATGCATCCTTCTCTTGTCATGTCTTTAGATTGTGTCAGTATGAGAAGATGTTTACTGAGATTTCCCAGGGCTAACACTAGAATGTAAGTCTAGGACCAGTTTTAGAAAACATAGTTTTTGCACTTAAGATACATTTAGACCCATATTTCTTAAGTATCACCTACAAGAAATGACCTTACCAGTTGCTCCTCGGAAACCCTATACAGGGTCACTATTAGTCAGAACTGACTCAACAGCACTTAACAACAAAAACAACAACCGTATTTTTGCCTCAAACCCTACAATGTTGAGTTCTACATCAGGCATATTTGTTTCCGGTGACTGCTCTAACAAATAACCACAGACTTAGTGACTTAAAACAAATGCAAATTTAGAATCTTGCAGATCTGGAAGGTTAGAAGTCCAGCACAGGTCTCAACGAGCTAAAATTAAGGTGTCTATAGGGCTGTGCTCTCTCAAGAGGTTTTAGGAGAGAGTTTGTTTCTTTGCCTTTCCAGCTTCTAAAGGCCACCTGCATTCTTTGGCTTGTGACCCTTTTGCCAGTTTCGAAGCCAATTTGTCTGCTACTCTCTTGCCCTCACTCTGACCCACCTACCTCCCGCTTTCATTTATAAGGAACCTTGTGGCCACACTGGACTCCCTAAATCATACAGAATAACCTCCCCAGCTCAAGACCCTTCACTCACAGATTTATTTATTTATTTATTTATTTATTTATTTATTTATTTATTTATTTATTTGCCACAGAAGGTAACATAATCACAGGTCCCAGAGATTATAGGACATGGACATTCTTAGGGATGTGGTGTATTCAGCCTATGGCATCAGGAAGCCATGTTGATGCACTGAGACTGCTCTAAAACCATGACTATCAAAATCAATTTTCTGATGTCTTGTTTTATTTTCAGATGCAGAGAGAAATTGTTTATGCAAGAGGAGATGGTTCTGGTACCTCTCGACCTGGATCTACAGCTCATCCCCCCTATGCAATTCCAAATTCTCCTCCGTCCACTCCTGTGCCCCACTCCATGCCTCCTTCCCCATCCAGAATCCCTTATGGGGGCACCCGCCCAGTGGTTGTTCCTGGCAATGCCACCATCCCCAGGGACAGACTCTCCAGCCTGCCTGTCTCCAGATCCATCTCACCGAGCCCGAGCGCCATTTTGGAAAGAAGAGATGTAAAGCCGGATGAAGACATGAGCGGCAAAAATGTTGCAGTGTATAGAAATGAAGGCTTCTATGGCGACCCCTACATTTATCATGAGGGACGGATGAGCATCGCCTCTTCCCATGGCGGACACCCTCTGGATGTCCCCGACCACATCATCGCATATCACCACCGCACGGCAATCCGGTCAGCTAGTGCTTATTGTAACCCCTCTTTGCCAACAGAAATGCATATGGAACAGTCACTGTATAGACAGAAATCGAGGAAATATCTGGAGAGCCACTTGCCTACTCTGGGCTCCAAAACACCGCCCGCCTCTCCTCACAGAGTCAGTGATTTGAGGATGATCGACATGCACCCGCATCATAATGCCCATGGGCCTCCTCACACCCTGCAGCCAGAGCGGGCGTCCCCAAGCCGCCAGTCCTTTAAGAAGGAGCCAGGCACCTTGGTGTATATAGAAAAGCCACGGAACACTCCAGGATTATCCAGCATGGTGGACCTTGGCCCTCCGCTAATCGAGAAGCAAGTTTTTGCATACAGCACTGCTACCATACCCAAAGATCGAGAGACCAGGTAAGGTGTGGGGAGGTGCACAATAGCTGTGCACACTCAGGGTCTGTGTGTGGGGGGGAATCTCTACGGAGATGGGGCTATTCTACAGAACTCAGAACAAGACAACTAACGTGGGCTGAGTACCAGCCTTGAGGAGAGCTCTCTCTAGATGTTGCGAAGGATGCAGAGTGGAGACAAAGGTCCTCCTTGTCTGCAAAGAGTTCCAACTTGGTGGGATTATGGGAAGCACGTCAGTAGCCATGTTATAGGATTAATTAAATTCTTGGTGAACATGTTATAGAGATTAATTGTGCAGGCCTCCTGAGCATGGGTTCAATGGCCTCCTTAGGTAGCACAAATGGTTAACACGATTGACTTGAAAGCTTCCACCCAGAGACACCTCGGAAGAAAAGCCTGGCAATCTACTTCTGAAAAATCAGTCCTTGTAAACCCTACAGAGCACAGTTCTACTCTGATCCATGTGGGGCCAGTGTGAGTTAAGACTCAATGGAAACCGGTTAAGTTTGATATGGCTCTTTATCATTCGAGCAGATATGAATCCATTAGAACAAAATTGGGATTAATAGAAACTATCTGGACGAGTAGATCAAGCGATCCTAATTATTGATCGGCACTGAAAATAAGTGAATGGTTCAAGTTTTAACTATGCGAGATGGCCAATTGTGTTTTTCCTTGTGGAATGTAATTTTGTTGTCTCCTCTGTTCTGGGAAATGGAAAGAATGTGTCATTGTCTGTCTTTTAAGATGATAAACATGACTTTGCTTGAAAGTAGGATGGTTTCGATTTAATACTCATTTGGGAGTGGTGCTAAGATCAGCAAAAACATTTCTAGTGAATGAGACACTCTGGGTATTTCTATTTCTTCTGTGGTATATGTGAGGGGGCTTTCAAAGTTGGTGGGGGAAATTCCATGATCTTTACATTCATTTTTCCATGAACTTTTAAAAGCCCCTTTGCATCTTTTTTTTCTAATTTACCTGCCTGGAACCTTCAGACAATATTTTGAAACCCCCGCTTAATCCACATAGTACAGGTATCTCTCTCTTTTAGAAAGTTTGCTTTATGCTATTTTAGTTTTTTAAAAGACCAACGTTACTACCTGTTTTCACTAACCAAAAGAAATCCAAAGAGGATTTTCACTTTTATGAAAAAAGGTGAAAAGTGAAACTAGCGTTTAGCATTTGTTTTGCAGTTAGCTGTTAAAGAAGGCAGCCTGCACCCAACTATCAAGAGTGGTGTCACCAAGCTCCTTCCCCGGGAACTACAGTCAGCATCTCAGCCCCAAGTGTCTGGAAAAATTAATGAAAAAAATAATGGAATTTTTCCAGAAACTTTTTAAGTCCCCTCATATAAGTTGTTTTTGGGGGTGTGTTTTAGGTTTCATGTATTTAGTATAATTTAATAGGTTATTTTTGGCGTCTGGGAATGCTCAAACATTTTTCCCATATAAACTAATGGTATATGCGTGTTCACTTATGACATTTCTGCTTAGGGAAAGTTCCATAGGAACGTTCTACTTTCAGATAGTGTCGGGAACCTGTAATAGAAAATTTAATTTTGGTGGAAGGAATTTCTCCAGACTGAACTGGCTGAAGAAAATCAATATAATTATAGTCATAAAGGTTATAGTCAGAGAAGTTGAGTCCAAATGAGGGTAAGCATTACATCTGCTGCCACATATGAATTCAGAAGGGGTGTGAAGGATAACATCTAGGTGTTCTGTTACTTGGTCCTATTAGAATGACTGTTCTCTCTCCATCAATAATAAGGTAGTCATTGTTGATGTTAAGTGCTGTCGAGTCAGTTCCAACTCATAGCAACCCTGTACAGGGTTTCCAAGGAACAGTTGGTAGGTTTGAACTGCCAACCTTGTAGTTCACAGTCCAGTGCTGATCCTACAGCGCCACACCAGGAGTCAATTAAGGTAGTATCACATACTATTCCATAACCTTGTTTAAAAAAAAAAAAAAAAAAAAAGATCACAGTTGTGAATGGAATGTACATACAAGTTGAAACGTCCCTGTCCTCTTAGCGGAGCTTTTAATGAAACAGCTGTCCCTCCTTATCTATTCACTCACAGCAGAGAGATTCCAAGATGGTAGAAAGAGAATACACTTGAAAATTGGGGAGTCATTAATTCAACCACAAATTCTAACTTTCTCATAGAGTTAGAATCAAGCCAGCAATAATGATTGGCTTGATTATGTAGTAAAAAGAATCAAGAGTTGGAAAATGATACTCTTCCCCCACCCCCCCCAAGTCGTTGTCATTGTTGGTTGCTGTCAAGTTGTTTTCCAGTTATGGTGACCATGTGTACAGAGTAGAACTGCTCCACAGTGTTTATAAGAATGTGACCTTTTAAAAGCATTTCCAAACCTACCCCTTTGGGTAGGTTAGCATTACCCACCTTTCAGCAAGTATCTGAGCACTTAACAGTTTGTGCCTCCAAAATCATTAGGAATTGAAATTCTGAGGATAAAAGGAGGGGCCATTCATCCTGACAAGGAGTAGCAGAGGGGTGTGGTGTGAACACTACAGGCTCCTTGCAGCAGGCCAACATCACAAGACAGAGGTAATCTACCAGGACCTGCCTAGAAAGGCACAGTAGTAGTAAGATTAAGGTTGGTAAGCTTGTGCTGTATGGTCCACAGAAATGGGGCACATAATTTCCACTACTGTGGAGCGTAAGAAGCTAGTAGGGATATGATGGGATTTGAGGACATGAGAATTTAGTCTGGAAACATTTTTAATCATCCATTTCCAGAATATAATGTTGGGTGCCAGAACCCATCATCCCAACCATCCCAACATCCCCTTAACCCCACCCTGAACCACCATGAGCTGTTGTCATATTTCCATATTTCCACTGTCATATTTCTGGGCAGTGATGATAGCTCAGTGATAGAATTCTCACCTTCCAAAAGAGAGACCCAGGTTCAATTCCTGGCCGGTGGCTGTGTGTGTAGCTACCACTCATCTGCCAGTGAAAACTTCCATGTGGCCAGGGTGTTGAACAGGAAGAAAGTCCTGGCAATCTACTTCTAAATATTAACCATTGAAAACCCTGTGAATCACAACAATCAGATCCTGTTATGTGTGGGGTCCTGTGAGTCTAGGGCCAACTTGACAGCAGCTTATAACAGCAAGCAGGTTCTAGACACATTTTAGACAACAATGGTGTCTCTGACTTCTTCCCAGAATGTAGTAGAGTATCAACATTTTCATAGCTTACTGCATATCATTGGACCCAGTTTCCCAAGGGATTTGGTTAGAATAAAACAACATTAAAGCTCTGTTTAACATGTCTCTCTATATTGCTGCCTGGCCAGAATCCCAAAGAATTTTAGCTTTAAGTAGAACCAGTGTTCTTTTAGCCTCTGCTTCCTCTTTAAAAAGAATTTTCTAACCTCAGATATTTCCATTTTACCAAGCCTCAGAAAATTCCATGGATTTCTGTGACAAGTTTAAAACCCTTTTTTAAAAATTCCAAATTATCTTCTATTTCTGGCATCACTAAAAATGTATAAATTGATTGAAAACGGTTTGTGTTCACCAAAAAACAGATTATCATTATCATCACAACCATCTTCTGACAGTTATTTTTAGGTTGTTGGGAGATTTTTTTATGCCTCAAAATGTAAAATAATCCAGGAAGAGTTTTATCACCTACCTTGCTGAGATCATTCCTCACCTGTTAGTCATCTCCACTCCAGGGGCTAGAATTGGAGTGCTTGTGTGTCTATGGGCTGGCAAAGTCGTCTCCTTCTGACACCCAGCAACACACACCTGTCTCATTGAGAGTTGCTATTGGCTCCTGTTGTGGTGCTGTAGGATCAGCACAGGACAGTGAGCTACAAAGTCAGCAGTTTCAAATCCACCAGCAGCTCCTTGTTTCCAAGGACCCCTATACAGGGTCACCATGAATCAGAACTGACTAGATAGCCTTTAATAACAACAATTGCTGAGGAACATAAACAACCCTCACTTAACTCAACGAAGACACATGATGAAGAATGTAAAATAGAGTCTGGAACTTTTGCCCCAGCACTGCCAACCAGCTCTTTACTGTTACCTAGCTAGGTAAGATCATGGGACCTCACAGAGAGTGAGAAATGTCTGCTTGTGCCTCTTCTCTAACTTTCTTTTGGAAAGCTTGGTCACCAGGCTGACATGTAGTATTGCTGGACAGTATCAGTAATAGGAAGAAAGATAGCATTGATGGAAGTTATCATTTATTGAGAGCCTTTGATGGACTAGGCACTATGTTAAATCGTTTCCACACATCATACAATGTAATCGTCTTGACCACTTAGTAAGGTATATACTGTGGTCATTTCCATTTTACAAATGTGGAAACTGAGGATTAGAGCAGTTAAGAAACTTGCCCAAGGTTACAAAGCCAAGATACGGCATAGAATGTCCATGAACCTGGGTTATTAAAGTATGGGTTTTTTCCACTGGGCAAAAGTCTGTCTGGTAAGTGGGAACTAAGAGGCCCACCTTCACCCTACAGAAGAGTAAATTCAGGAGTGAAATCAGAGCATTTCAGTCAGAATTCTTCAAAAATGGTTTTACAACTAGATGCTAAGTAACTTTTCTTCAAGGATATTTACAATCATAACTGCAGTTGAATTTGCATAATTATTCTGCTAAATATATACATACTATTTGAAGAACAAGTACTCTAGCTAGTATATTAGCACAATTTTTATACAGAAATAAGTGAAGAAGAGATCATTTTGGGTAAATTTTATTTTTCAGAAAACTAACATGAGTACTGTATCCTAGGGTGAAAAAAGTACACCAGAAACTATCATCAAAACACAGAATTATAGTCTGCTGTCTAGCATATAGCACGATGTTATCCTAGAAATATTTAATCAGCTAAAGTATTTTTAATGAGCCTTCAACCCTTAAAAGTCTAACTTCCTGAGCATAGAACCCAATAAACTGCCAAACCAATTTCTGTGCAATTTCATAATATTAAAAAGCAAATAAA